TTCTAAATATTGTACACAACTCTTCTCTAATCAGTTCCCACGAATTACATCAAACAAGGCCTTGCTTAGCACCTAAATGTCATGGTCGACTGTAGTTGGCGTAAATTGATGTTTTACTGTTAAATAGGCAATTTTTTTATGACAGTATTAATATTTTGATACTTTAATTGGTATAGAACGATATTACGATATTAAATAATTGTTTTATCACAAACTGCACAAGATTTAATTGGGACATAGGTATTTCCAAATGAAAATTAAGGTTAAATCAAAGTAGCCCGGGTTCTATGATATCAAGGTACTTAACATTTGTCGGAAAATATTAAAATATAAATATCAAAAGTGAGTGAGATTTTTCTTCCATCTTATAAGTGAACCTTTTCCAGAACTGTTTGTCAAAAAATTATTTCAAAAGAACCAATAAAAATGACATTTTTTAGACTATTTCCAATGTCTGCCATTTTGGGTAATTTCAGAGGAGGTTACTACGGTATCAAGGTAATCCCCAAAAAGCAAGTATGGAAGGATAGATGGGTCAAAACTTTCAAGTTAAATTGTGAAAAACTTCCAACAGTTAACAGAATAACTTGCTATAAAATTAAAACTATATGAACAGACTATATGTCAGTATATGTGTTTATAACATATTTTAATTGACTGTGTAAAAACCATTAAGGAAAATGGTAGTCAGATATGAAGGTTTTATAAAATAGTTTTCTTGCCACAAATACATTCATTATTCACCAAATTAAATTCATTGGCAGATGAAAATGAATCTAGTATGCAAGTTTTACAAATATTAGCATTATCATGTGTTGCTTTTACTAGCAGTCACAGAAAATTGAAATACCTTGATATCATAGAACCCTTGATATCATAGGAACCGAGTATATATATGTTATTCTGGTTAGGTTTCGTAATAGTCCAACTAATTGTACTGCGCGACGAGATATTGTGCTATTTTCGTGTCTGGGCAATATCTCGCCGCTACGTACAACATAAAAAGTACCGTTTCTGTGGTGAAATTTGCGCCGGGATTTTGAGCGCAAGCTTTGGACCGTCTAAAATCGTATTAGAATTCATATTTTAATAAATTTGTTACGATACCTTTAAAGATTATTCATTTCTACATCAATTTCATGTTTTATTTGTGAAAATATTCCTAACATAAAGATTTTGATAGAAAAGTAAACACATGAACCATCAAAATACAGACATCGCCGCTAATGTCACGTGACAAAAACACTGTTGATTACTACACTGGTGTGTATGCGGTACTGCGTTACTGAGAAACGCCGAAACACTCTAAGTAATATATTAAGTTTAATGTTATATTTAAGACATTTATTTATGCAAAAGAAAAAAACTATGAAAGGATGAAAATATTATTTTATTGGGATAGATGCAAAACTTATTCGTTATTGTCAGAGCGTTCTTAGAATATTCAGAATCATCACTATCTTTTTAGAAAAGCTACTCGTAAATGGACTCCTCACAAAAATAATTTCTAGTTTATAAAAAAAAATTATTTCGTTCAGCTTTCCCAGTAAATATAGGAACATGGGACTTATTGGTAACTTTAGATTTTTTCCCCACGATTATGAATGAAAATAGGGATATGTTAATAGCAGAAACACAAGGTTTATATGTTTAAAAAGCAACGAACGGATTCCTAGTGCCTTAGCGACTACGAGAGGACGCCAATTCTAAGGAATTTGACAGTCTGTTATTTATATTAATGTTGATTAACTATTAAAGGATATTTTCAATGTTCAAAATATTTTTTTATCAATAATAAAACAAATAAATGTCAAACGCGGTATAAACGAATAAATGTCAAACGCGGTGCCTCGACATTATACATGTATGTGCGGAAACAACATCCATGTGATTTTTTTTATTATTATTTTCTTATCCACGCAGGTTTATAATTCTTGCTAGTTTATTCCAAAAAGCTTTCTGAAGATGATTATAGAAAGAAAAAAACACACACACGAACACACACGTAGACATGAAATTGTTCTAAAATGACCGTGGTACAGGGAAAAATACTCGGAAATCTATTTCAAGAAACAGGTGCCCGCTTCATTTTTTTGTTGTTTTTTGTTTTGCAAAAGACTTTCATAATGTTGGTATACAGTAAAGATTTATTCCATACATTTCACTTTTATGGCGTCTTAGAAATTATTTTCTTTTATAAAATACACGCATGGCGAAGTGCGATTTGAAGAATCATGGCGGTTATTTTACAATGTTACATAAACAAAACGCTGCGCCACAGGGGTGTAGGGTGTGGAACTCAAAACGATTTAAAATAAAGAAATGCATATTTGTCAATCCCAGCACATGTACTGATCATGTGTATATATATAAGAATACTTAATATAAGCCGTTTTGAAAAAAAAATCAAATTTCAACGTCTATAATAATACACAAGATAAAAATGTTCGCCGGAAAAAATCCGCACATCTACCGTCAAAAACACCATGTATTTTATTCCGTTTCCAAATTTTCACATAATCCTTTGACCCACAGACACAGAAGATATAATTCTTCATGATGATGGTCAATTTTTAAACTTCCACATCAATATAAACAACGCAACAGCCGAAATAAACATCGAGATTATCGCCGTTTTTACTCCATTTACAAAATATTTCGACAAATTCAAACGTGGCACCCCGAAGTTGACAAATATACATTTCATTTTGGATTTTAAAGGCGTTTTGAGCTACACACACCCAAAGTGTCTGTGATTTCTTTGATTCTTGTCCGATCATATAAGATTTAAGGGTTATGCAACACGTTTACTCATTTTAAACAATTATATGATACAGATTGCTACTGCCCCCAAGTATTAAAGTTGTTGCTTTGGAAACGAACTTTTAAAATCGGCAAGGGAAACCGGCGCCTCTTCAAGTTCTTTTTTTTTTTCAATAATTTTAACATTCTAGTGAATTTAGATAGAAAAACAGAAAATAGTTCCTAAATATTAAATGTCACAACTCAAAACTTAAAAAGTTGGTATATCTTGCGTTAATTCAGAGCCGGGAAAATAACCGAGGAAACTGTGGCCGGAACACATTTAATTTCTTACCACCGTTTAAACAATTTTCATAAATGAATTATAGAAAGAAATTTAAGCATAAGATTATCGTCTTTAAAATGAATCATCAAGTATATTTATAATTATAAATTGAAAATTAAATACATGTAATTACAATCTAAAAATAACTTTTCTTTACAATTTGGAAAATTGTTTAACTGATTCCGGATAGGAATCACGGCTCCAATTTAAATAATTTTCTTTAAATCAAATTTATCCAAAACTTAATCTTATCAATGTTAAGTTGACACAAAGAATTTAAGTAAGGAAGAAACAGAACTGCGCAGTGTCAACATTTCCGAAGTGTATATTGGTCAGCGTACCGGTGTCGGCGTTGTGGAATAGTTGACACGTAACGTTTCAAAAATAAATACATGGTTGGATATTTTCTATTCCGGAACAAAAAACATTTCTGGAACATCGCTTAAAAACACCCAAATATCCAGCCCATTACGGCATATGCTATGATTATAGTCTTTTATTACAAGGATAAAATGGTACATGTAAAACGCAGACAAATCGAAAAATGGGCGCTCGGCGTAAACGAGTTTTTACTTTTCTGAAAACTGTTGAGGGGAATGAAAAATTAACGCAAGAATTTACCATTTGAATTCAAAAAAATCTTTCATAGCGTAATGCACGTTTGGGAAAACAAATCTTTCTAGGCAAGGAGTTGCTGAATTTTAATACGCAGCAAGTTGTATGTAACTAACATAATTATTCTAACATAGATAATACTACAGAGTGGTGACAATATAATTTTAATGAAATTTACAATATTTGTTTATCCTTTAACAAACATGTTTATAAAAAAGAGGTCCAAATTTTAAAAGTTTTCTTCCGCATCATTTTTAAAGATTTCAATTCAATTAGAAAAAAAATAGTTAAAGATTATTTCCTGGCGATTTATTTAATGTAGCAATAAATATAATTAATAATAACAACATTTAACTTTTAATAAGCACTGTTTAACAGTTTTTCATATTTTTTTTTTTTGTCCTACGCAAAAAAAAAAATGACAACAATTCACGCGCGCGGTACCGAACAATATCGATTTTTAGCGTACATGTTAAATTACTGTAGCAACATCACAATATGGCGGCGTTTTGGTACATCAAACGAGAACGGCGAATGAAACTAACGTGGTTTTACTTACTTCTAAGTTGATAGTCTAGCACTTTTTGTGCTGTTGATTCCTTAAAATTGTATTGTTGAAATAGATTCTTAGTTTAAATTGTCTGCATTTTTTACATTAACATCGAAATCCACGTTTCACCACAGAAAGGTCTCCTTTTGGTTTTGACGTTAAAGCGAGATTCTGCCCCAGAACGAAAATATCTCAGAATCAAGCTTTGGCACGTCAATATATTTTGACTAGGTTTCGTAATGGGTCTAATCCAAAACTTTAATGCTGCATCAGATGAAAAACAAAAATTTTAAAAAGCTGCTTATACAGTTTTGGAAGCCAGAACTAGCCTTGGTATGGTCAGCTCTGTCCCTAAACTAGCAGAAAATACTTAAAATTTCACATATGCCAAATAGACTTTCATACTCGCAGTTAACTTTTTTTTTCTTCAAAATTTTATCATCAAAGGCTTGCGATTTCACATCTAGTTTTTACATGCTTCAAAAAAATTCATTGAAATCTATGTGACTCACCATGCAATTATCCAGGTGTGCTCTTGTCTTTGCGGGTCATCTTAAAAAGATGCTTTTATTTTATTGGAAAAAATTATCAATTTACATTACCGTAAAGCAACTGTCAATCAAAGTATGTCGTAAAATACAAAACACGGTTAGAAGTAATTCTTGAGATACCATCAGCCTGGCACATTAAAAACGTGAATTGTTGACCAACATATTTATATGTTTCAAAAAAGTTCTTTGTCTTGACGAATTTTAATGTCGCAAAAAAAATACTCTTCTCAGTCGGAGAGCAAAAAGATTGAAATACAAAAATGACGACCGTCGCAGAAGGTGTGAGAGAAAAAGCTCTTTCTGATTACAGAAAGAAGCTCCTAGAGCACAAAGAATTAGAGGCACGTTTGAAAGAAAGTAAGTATTTGCCAAATATTCAAAATCAGATAAATATAACCCCTTATTTTACAAGAAAACACTTGCCATTACCCGGCGTTTTTGTGCTGATTCACCGGCTTCCGCTTGGGAATGCCAAACGTTTCCTTTACCTTCTTCTTCTGAGCATTTAAGCCAAGATGGCTTGTAAGCTCCTCCTATACAGTATTATCAAGGATAACTTCAATAAATGTCACTTGTATTAAATCTTTTACTTTGTCAGCTCCGGTCGAGTAGAGTTTTAAATGTCAAAATACTTTCACTGAGGACAATGTTTTCATCTAAAACATTTCGAAGACATTTCCTCCGAAGATGTCCCATCCCCATGCTGGAAATGTATGACATAAATTTTTTGCACCTTGAATAATATGAAATTAGGCAAAGCCTATGAACGGGGAAGTCATTAAAAAATCCTTTCATTCTTTCCGTTTTAAAGGTGTCATTCGATATTACATACACCGCTTCCGTTTTCACTCGGAACACTCGACGATTATTACTAATCCGAAAAGTTGAGATTTGTTCCGTTATCGGAATACTTTTCTATTATCATACATTGTAAATGGCGGCGCCCGACTAGAACTGACACTGAAAATTTTATTGATAGGTATAGAATTCTATATATTTTTTAAATGTTTTTTATTTGATTTTCTTTTAAATATTCACATGTAGCAGCATGCCCATTCACGCACTACAGTGCGTAATTCACGCACAAAATTCTAGATGCACGCATAAAAATTGTAAGCAGGGGGTACATGCACGCAAAGTAAAATCCTCAGAATTAATGTTTGGGATAGCCTATGTACTCTTAATTTTGCCTGGGGACGCATCATACGACCACAAATACACAAATACGTCAGCGCGTGTCAGTCTATAGGTAGGCAGTCCTATGCACATCGACCCGTGAAGCGATTAGCCAATCAGCGATAACACTTTCAATTATTATCACGCAATAGAGATCAGACTAATGTATACACGCGCTGTACATGTAATTACCAGATATAACACGAGGTGATAATTTAACATCTTTGATCAACAGTTGATTGGAAATTAGCAAATTTTACCGACAAAAGGATAAGAATAAATAAGCAAATTTTACCGACAAAAGGATAAGAATATCGACTATTTACGCCGCAAGTTTAAAGACTGTTTTCTCAAATTACAAATGAGTGTAATTTTGAATTATTCTCGAAATTTTCGGCACTTTCTAAGCAAAATTTTGCTTTCGTTTCATTCTTGCAAAAACGTTCTATAAGAGTTTAAATGATTTAACATATTGTGCCGAAATGCCAGGACAACTAACCAAAATACACGTACGCTTTTCTTTGATCCGAAAATTGATCCCGAACATCGGCGATTTCACGTTCGCCGGAATTTCAGAAACCCTAAAATTGTGCAAAAATTCTCAGTTTCCAAGCCAAACATGAAAATGAATTGTTCCTTTATTATTAAATCAGCATTAAATCTTTAAATATCGATCTTCAATTTGCCCCCATTTTGAAGATATTTGCTAAAATAATTGTCGATCGGATGAATCTCTAACACACTGTGTGAAGCTGTACACGATTTTCCTATTCATTCCGCTAAACCCTGCCTATATACATTAAGGTTTTTTTTTACAAATATAAACTTTTTGTCTATAGAGTGGACTTATTTAACCAGAATAAAATTTGATTTTGTATAAAAGTGAAAAAAAAAAAAAAAAAAAAAAAAAAAAAAAAAAAAACGATTTCCATGTGTTGATGCATTAAAATGAAATAATTTCATGAAAAATATTAACAAAACAAAACAATAATTATACTATATTATACTACATTTATATAAAATGTTCTTACAAACAAAAACATGTTTAAACTTATGTGTACCCCCAGATTTTGAAATGTACCCCCACTTTTCAATGACAGGGGGTACATGTACCCCTACATTTAAAATTGAGTGGGCATGCTGATGTAGGCTACTGGGCAAGCCAAAGCCCGGACCCGCTTTGACTTCCCCATATTAATAATATGAAAAAGGCAAAGCCTCAAAGCGAGCTCGATGTACTTTTAATGTAAAATGGTATGAAATAATCGCTCATTTTTATTTCAAATGCAGTAACGAGTGCGTTTGACGTCACACATACTGTGTTAAATATGGCTCCGTCCCTGTCGTTAAATGAATAGCGAGTTTTAAAAACGTTGATAAAACTTTGTTTGTTTATTTTATTTCACTCTATAATTTTTCAAGCGAAATAAAGATTATTAGAAGTGAAATAAATGTAAAACTTTGAACGTTTACGACATTAAAATAGCGTACTTGATTTGATTGTTTTGCACGTGCTGTTTGGCGCTACATTGTGACGTCACGTAAACAATACTTTAAACGTCTGTACAGCGTTAACAACTGAATAAAAGATATTGGTGTTCGGATATAGCTCGCTATTAAAAAAGGTAAAGCCTCAAAGCAAGCTTGATTTACTTTTACTGTGAAATGGTATAAAATAATCGTTCATTTTTATTTTACATTTTCCTTTTAAGTAAGTAAGTAAGTAAGTAACGACTTTATTTAATGAGGCAACACAGTTGGGCAAGCCCAGTCTTCCCTGTGGGCCTCAACAATATACAAAACAATATACAAAATATAATACATCAATAAAAGATTAAATAATAACACAAGTAGATTTCATTATTATACATCAACACTGACATACATATAGATCAACCTTGAAAAAAGAAAGAAAAAGAGAAAAAAAAAAAAAAAAAAAAAAAATGAGTTGATATTATATACATACATTCAACATTGAATTGGATGGTAACAAAATTGAAAATTTACATACATATTAACAAAAAAATATTCAACCAATATAAAAAAACAAATATTTATACATGTATACATCTAAGCAGAGGTTTCCACCAGAGAACCACCATGTTAAATATGACTTTTTTGAATAGTGAAAGACTGTTTTGATTGCCTGATATGTAATGGTATTTTGTTCCAGATTTTAGGCCCAGAGTAAGCAAGAGCTTTTCTGCAAAATTCTAATCTAGGTTTTGGTATATGTAGTGTCTGTTGAGTGTTTGATCTCAGAGTTGTGTGATTTGTATGTGAAAATAAATCAGACATATAAAGTGGCAATAGATTGTTAATGGATTTGTAAACAAGAATTGCTTTTTTTATAATGGATGCGGTCATTGTATTTTTAACACCAATTCAACTCATAAACAATATTTTTGAAGGTGGTATCAATGTCTTTGTCAAGTATAATACGGGCGGCTCTCTTTTGAAATTTGTATATGCTGTTCAGTAATTCATCATTACAATTTCCCCAAATAGTGCAGCAGTAATCAAGGTGTGGTAATATGTATGCATTATAAAAAACTATTCTCAATTTGTTTGTTAAGGTACTGTTTGATACGGAGGAGAAGATACAGTAATGAGTTGCATTTTTTAATCAGCTGTTCAATTTGACAGTTCCATGATAATCTATGATCCACGTGAATTCCCAGCAATTTTTCAGAGTTAGTAAATTCAATGTCATTTTCCTGCATTTTCAAAATGTAATCATTGCTTGATTTGATGGTGTTGTAAATGATATTTGATGGGGAGATTATCATTGCTTTTGTTTTTTGTGGATTTGGTATCATAGAGTTTCTTGCACACCAGTCGTAGATGATGTCAATGCTATTTTGTAGCGATCTGTAGACTGAGTCAATAGATGATCCAAATGAGGTGATAGTTGTATCATCTGCAAACATGTCAGTAGATGTATTTGGAAGGTTTAAAGGCAAGTCATTTATAATATAGAATGAATAGAGCGGGGCCAAGTATAGAACCCTGAGGGACTCCAGATGATATTTCTTTAGCACTTGATAATTTGCCAGAGATTGAGACCTGTTGTGTTCTGTTTGAGAGATAAGATTTAAACCAGTTAAGTGTTTCCCCTGCAAAACTGATATTGTGTCATCTTTTGAATTAAAAAGGGAATGATTAAGTAAATCAAATGCCTTAGTTAGATCAAGAAAAACAGTGCCTACTAGTTTGTTTTGTCATTGATTGCAGAAATCCAAGTGTCAATGATAGATGTTATGCTGTTTCACATGAATGATGTGAGCGGAAACCTGATTGAGTCTTATGCAATAATGAATGTGTTTCAAGAAAATTTTTAAGGTGATTACTGACATGTTTTTTCTAGTACTTTGGAAAGAACAGGGAGAATCGAAAATAGGACGATAGTTATTTGTATCAGATTTGTTCCTTTTTTGAAAAAATTGGAATTATCTTTGCTTTCTTGAAAAGTGAAGGGAATACAGATGTAGAAATGCTTTGATTAAATATTTGTGTGAGTGGTTTTGCTATTACTTCAGCTGAGATTTTTAAAAATTTTGCTCCTATGTCATCTAAACCTGTTGCTTTATTTGAGTCAAGGGATTTGAGTTGCTTGATGACAAATTCTTCTTGTATTTGTGGGATCTGAAAGGAAGAAGTTGCACTTATGTGTTTAGTGGTGAACTCATGAATTGTTGTTTTGTCTTCATTTGAAAGTAGAGAACAATTTTCAGGAGCTTTTTTAAATACATTAGCAAAAAAATCATTGAAATATTCAGCAGTGGTGTGCGCGTCCTGTATGGGGTTACCTGATATGTCAACGATAAAGTTTGTTTGAGATTTGGATGATTTACCTGAAATGTCTTTAAGATTTTTCCATAGCTTTTTAGGGTTGTTAGGATTATTATTTATTGAATTTGTATAAAATGACTTTTTTGCATCTGCTATAAGTGATTTTGTTTTATTTCTCCAGTATTTGAAGGAATCTTCCTCATTAGACCTTTTGGCATGGTCTCTTTTCATCATAGCATTGGATATTTCAGTATTAAACCAGTCTGGTAGAAAATTATCTAAAATAGTCTTTTGAAAATTATCATTCGATATACACTGCTTCCGTTTATTCTGGATCACTGTCCTATTATGGTTCCTACATAAGTGCGCAGGACACCAGTCTATGCTTCCGTTTTCAATCAGAATACCTCGGCTTTTATCGTTATCTCTTAATTCGAAAAGTTGCGATGTGTGAATTCAGTACTTTGAACGAAAGTTTTCAAAACCATCACTATCTAGCAGGTAGTGGTACTCGCGTTACCGTAAAGCTTGCTTTGCGAGCAGGCCCTTCAGGCCAGCTCTTAGAGCTCGCTATAATAAATTTGTTGAATATTGCAAGGTAAACAAAATGATTTTATGACTGAAAGTCACTTTTCACCTCCCGTTGACGTTTCACCTCCTAGAGAGTAGAGTACTAGCCTAAACGTTTCGACTCCATTTTTTGTTATATATATTGTATACCGGTGCCTCATTTTTCGGTGGTACTTAACTGTTTAACACAGACAACAAAAGTTAGAAGAATAAAATTTTGGAAAATAATGATAATGTTATTTTGTATTTTCACGGTTCAGAACTGTTCACATTTTTGTTGTGATATGAAATGCCAAATATGCACAAATGTATGAAAAAAGAAATGCTTGTTTATTTTTAAATCTGAAATATATATTCCAATATACATACATTAATATCAATTTACACAAAAAAGAACATTCTGCATAATGCAAAATCTTAAGGATGTGAAGTCTAACCAGTGGAATGTGATTGACACATTCCGTTTGAATAACTTGTGATTCCCTGTTAAACAACTAAGTTACTACTTTATATTATATACACAAAAGTTGTTTTATTGATTTGACAAGTGTGTGAGGTATAAATTAAAGTTTATTATTTTCTCTGTGGATAGTCGGTCACAACGTGTAGTGGATAAATAAAATAAATTGCCATCAAGTGCCAATGAATCATTCTAAATCTGTAAAATTACTTTATGGACTAAATAGTGTTGATGTGACAACAGCAATTTCTTCATGTGTAGAAGCTGATTGATGTCTTACATCTTGATATATTTTCAGTGAGAGAACAGTTGAAGGATCTTACAAAACAGTATGACAAATCTGAAAATGATCTTAAAGCCTTGCAGAGTGTTGGTCAGGTATTGTTCTGTTCTTTAATCTTATCTTTACTCCACTGAATACTTGTACTTTAAACATGTTCATAAAACTAAACAACAACACTATAGGTATAGGATGTGGTGCAAAATTTACCATTTTAAATAATTGTTTGTATGGCTAAAAGTATGTAGAGCTGTTTTCAAACTGTAACTTGTAACTGTTTCCTCATGATAAGCAGCTTAGCAAATTGCTAATAATGGACAAACCACTTCTAAATAGGAGATGCATAATAACAAATAGTGTTTAATGTGGCCATCCTTAATAAACTGGCTAACTGCAAAATGTACCATAACATATTGCCAATTAGAAAGTTCCTTATGCCCTTTGTAATAGAAAGAGCATCGAAACACGAAGCTATCTGATTTGTACAAGGGGGCATAGCCCCTGAGTATAAATTAGATTGCCGAGTGTTTTGATGTTCTTTCTCTTTTGTATCATAGTCAAACATAAAAATACGTTCCCAGTTGTCACAATATGAAACCCCTGGAAAAAGTAACCAATGAACGAGCATCTGGAGAGGGTTGGTTATTATTAAACCAGTAAGGTTTTTGATTTTGAATAATGCATTGAAACATACAATAAGTTCTTTAATTATATAGTGTATTTAAACATATTATATTGTAGACACTGTTAGTGTTAGATATTAGGTTTATCATATCTTGGTAATACTTTTGTGCATCATTTATAATATTATTCCTCACTTTGTGTATTACAGATTGTTGGAGAGGTTCTTAAACAACTAACAGAAGATAAATGTAAGTTTTTTATATGTCTTGTACAGTTAGAATTATTAATTCATTCTGCAAAATGTTTACAGTATAATGTTTAGTAATTTATATGAACAACTGCCTTAATTAAAGTTTCTGTCTGATACTTAATATTAGTTGTGTCCTGATAATTTAAACTGAGCAAGATGTGTTAGTTTTAATAAATAAGAAATAACTAAGAAATACAAAAATTATCACATTTAATTAATTTTCATATTTTACCTATTTAGTTATTGTAAAGGCAACAAACGGTCCCCGGTATGTTGTGGGATGCAGGCGTCAGCTTGATAAAGCCAAGTTGAAGTCGGGAACCAGAGTTGCTCTAGATATGACAACACTGACAATAATGAGGTATGATTTCAAAATATAATCATTATATTGAATATGTGTCAAATTTAACATAATGCCATGATGTTAAGCAACTTCATTCAAATATGTACAAATTAAAACACAAAGGAAAGTTTCATAAATTGTTGATAAATTGTTGATAAGATACTGCTTTTTTTGAAAAGGTAAAGGAGAATATATCAAACCCTGGTCATTTCCTCCTCCTACAATTACAATAACAACAATTTTAACACATTTTGGAAGATGATGTATAATTATATACCTTTAATTCATGTACATGTTATCAGATATTAACTGAGGTTACTTGTATGATACATGCAGACTAAGATCAGCCAGCACATCTATGTCATTTGATCATAGCCTGCACAGTTGGCTATTTAATCAGTACATTTTTTGAAATTTTCCCTAAAAATGTCAAATGTTTTTTTCCCGATTGAAAAATGGTTTGTCAGCTATGTCAGCTGAAGATATTTAGCATGGTAAGGTAAAAATCTACTGGACATGTGTAGTAACTTACTGTATTTAATAGCAATAAATAGATTAAGGCAAGTTATTGTGTTACACATTTGAATCTTCTTTGTTCCTATTTGAACAATGATATGAGCCGTGCCATGGCAAACCCAACATAGTGGGTTTGCGACCAGCATGGATCCAGACCAGCCTGTGCATCCGCACAGTCTGATCAGGATCCATGCTGTTTGCTATCAGTTTCTGTACTTGTAATAGGGTTTGTAAGCGAACAGCATGGATCCTTATCAGACTGCGCGGATGCGCAGGCTGGTCTGGATCCATGCTGGTCGCAAACGCACTATGTTGATTTTGTCATGATACAGCTCATATCAATATTTTTCATGTATACATAATGACTGTTGTATGTTTTAGACATTTACCACGTGAAGTAGATCCACTAGTGTACAACATGTCTATAGAAGATCCCGGTGATGTGAGTTATAACCAGGTTGGAGGTCTGGGAGAACAGATTAGAGAACTTAGAGAGGTACTGTATATTTAACTGCACAAATTACACAAAATATGTTGCTAGAATGTTAATGTAAAAAACAATTGTTTTATGTGAGGTAAAACAATATTCTCAAAGCTTCCTATGCTTGAAAAAAGAACATTATTTTGTCTCTGTTGATTATTTGTTTTATGACAGGTAGTGAACTAGTCATTTGTAACGCTTGCTCCAACCCCCTAAAGGAGTCTTGGGATGACATGGGGAAAATGAACCATGTTGTTACCTTCCCCACATGCTTGCACTGCCAGGTTAATGTGTTGGTTTTATTTAGTTGCCAGAAAAGAGAAGGATATTTCCAATAGAGCACAGGAATTTAGAATTGTACCATCTAACTATCTTGGTAGGCATGGTCGTTACAGTTTAAGTCCCCACTATTCCATGTAGTTAAGTGGCAAGGGTTTGCAATTGACTAATGCATGAGCTGTCAATGAAAATAATACTTATTATGATATTATCATTTTGTTTTTGATTTCAGGTAATTGAACTGCCTTTGATGAACCCTGAGTTATTCCAGCGTGTAGGTATCACACCACCAAAAGGTTGTTTATTGTATGGCCCACCAGGCACTGGTAAAACTCTCCTAGCAAGAGCTGTAGCGTCACAACTTGATGCCAACTTTCTTAAAGTAAGTGAATTTTGTACTTCTTTTACAGTTCATCTACTTAAGTAGGGACTTTTTCGTATGTACATATATACATTTATTTATATAAACAATTTAAAGCAACACGCCTCCAGATACATGCTAATTTTCATGAAAATTCTGAAAATGTATTCGAATGTGTAATATTGTGAATTAACCAAAAGGAAGCAATTTACACATTATCAATGGCACTTACAAACCACGTAAATTACCAAAAAGTGGTCAAAATATGCATAAATAGCCTTTACTTACGCAGTAGCAATATAATTGTAAATACTGTCATTAATCGCACATAATATGTAAAATAATTCTTGAATCTTGAAACCTTTTACATTTCCTTACATCTTAGTACATTTTTTTCAAGTTTTATTTTATTGAAATATTTTGACTCATCTGGAAGCATGTAGCTTTAAACATTATTTTAATTGGTCAAAAATTTAAATATGACTATATTGATCTGTTTCTCAAAATATTAGAAGCTGTGTTCTGTAAGAATGTAAAGTTCAAATCTGAAAAGCTGATTTCAAGCAACAACAAAAAATAAACAATTTGGACTGCAATTTGGTTGTGAAAAATGTGGGGTTTATTTCTCATTCTGAGTTACATATGTTCTCGATTCAATTGTTATCCAGGTTGACCTACACTTTCATTTAGTCCAACTAGATTGAATGATGATAGTAGCTGATTGTAAATGATTGTATTTTTGTATTGAAAACACGTGACAAATCTAAGGCTGAGTCATTTTATATGATAATGGTTAAATTGTTTGTATATTTCAGGTTGTATCGAGTGCTATTGTAGATAAATATATTGGTGAGAGTGCCAGGTTAATCCGAGAAATGTTTGCATACGCTAGAGATCATCAACCATGTATCATATTTATGGATGAAATTGATGCTATTGGTATGTTTCTGTAGGTCTTTAATCAATAACACTCTTGAACAAAAACTGATAAGCTTTTGCTGCCTGATAAGAACCAGGTCGTCTTATGCTGTTTGTTCCGGTCATGAACTTCATATTTACATCTGGATATCCCCAAAATTGTTAATGCATACTTGGACACCTTTTTAGCTCGACTTTTCTATGAAAAGGGGAGCTATCCTACTCGCCCCGGCGTCGGCGTCGGCGTTAGCGTCGGCGTTGGCGTCACACCTTGGTTAAGTTTTTCGTACCACCCCACTTTATTTCAGAAGTATTACAAGTATGGCTTTGAAACTTACCATACTTGTTCACCATCATAACCTCCATCTACAGACAAGAGTACATAACTCTGTCAAGGTTTTTGACAGAATTATGGCCCTTTTTTGACTTAGAAAGTGTATTGAGCTTGGTTAAGTTTTTTGTACCACCTCACTTTATTTCAAAACCATTGGAGGTATTGCTTTGAAACTGACCATACTTGTTTACCATCACGACCTTCATCAACAGACAAGAGGACATAACTCTGTCAAGGTTTTTGACAGAATTATGCCCCTTTTTGACTTAGAAAATACATTGAATATGGGTAAAATCCACTTATTGCCTTAACCCTTTGAGATATTGCTTTGAAACTTTTATTTCTATTTCACATCATTACCCCCATCTGTACGCAAGAGAAGGTAACTCTGTCAAGGATTTGTTTTAAAAATTAAGGCCTTTTATCGACTTAGAATCTTGGTTAAGTTTTTAGTACCAGTCCACTTTTTGACTGAACTGTTTGAGATATTAATTTGAAAGTTGGAATACTTGTTTACAATCATGATTCCCAAACATGTCCAGGAGAAGGTAATTCTGTCAAAGATTTTATTTGAATTATGGCCCTTAACTGTCAATGTTTTGTATTATAGGCAAGCACTAAAAAACTTAAAAAATCTAAAAAAATTCATTCCTATCCACTTGTTCACTTTACCATAAATTATGTCATATAAACATTGCTGTAATATTCAAGGGTATCAAACAACTAGTTATTTTTCTCTTTTTGTACTTGAAATTAAAATCAGTAGTATATGCATATTTCACATTTTATCTCGCCTATTTGATTGGTGGACAAGTTACACAATTCAGTAAAATAATTCTTCACTAAATATCTTAATGCTCATGGCCATTGTTCACTTTAAAAATACAGAGATTCTTGTATTGCCTTTTACTGCAAAAACTTTTTTTATTGGCAAGCAATAAAAAAGTCGAGCGCGCTGTCTTACGGACAGCTCTTGTTAATCTCAATAATCATATTGCATGTTAATGATAAAATCTGTAATTTGCCCAAATAAATTGAACAGTGAATGAAAGGTAAGTATTCAATAAAAGTCCATCCGTATCTATAAACCGTCCAACGTTACTGTCACATTTTAACATCTATCTTTAGCAGTACATGTACTTCTTTAAGTTCAGTATTAAATGTATTTAGGTAATGCCGATTCCAAACAACATAGGAATGGGTTAATTTAGTATGATAATGATTTTATCATTAACATATAATATGATAATTGAGATTATAAAGGTGTACAGAATACATATTTTAAGGTCTATATATTATTATATTTACATGTATTTACATCTACAGAAACTTGAGAATTTATTTAAAGCCCATATATATAGTATATATAGATATTGTTATATGTACATGTATAATATACTATATGATATATTACAGGTGGTAGAAGATTTTCTGAGGGCACATCAGCAGATAGAGAGATACAGAGAACTCTTATGGAGGTAGATTGATTTATATATAATCTGTTACAACATGCATGCGTATAAATAGTAACAAACTGAAGTGATAACAAGTAGGCTGCTGAAATTAACTGCTGTCATGAAAGGCAAGACTACATATATACCTATGTTGAAAATCCTTATTCAATATTTATGTGCATGATTTTCATGGCCATGTGCAACTTAATCAGATTCTCGTGAAATCCCTAGTGGCATCAAGTAAGCGAAGTAGAATATTTTGAGTAGCTAGCCTTTAAAGTATTAAATAATAATGCAGATACTTTTGACACTAGTAAATGACAATGAGAACATTAAGAGGAAATAAATATACATGTTTGCCATCTTATATCTGTTGTCTTTGTCTACAAGTAAAGCTGAAAAGTCCAAATATGACCTTATAGGACTATTGGTATCAGTTTGCCGGGGCGGCAAAATCAATTGTCCAGGTTGTCCCACAGCCTGTATGGACAAGTGGAAATTTTCTAAAATAAAGTATCATACGGACAAGTAAAGAAATGCTTCAAGTAAAAACGGACAAGTTAGTCAAAATCAGATTTTGCCGGCCCTGAACTGTTTGGCTTTAATTCAAATAATATAGTATTTACATTGGTTGTTTTCAGTTGTTGAATCAGATGGATGGGTTTGATGCATTAGGTAAAGTTAAGATGATTATGGCCACAAATAGACCAGATACACTAGATCCTGCTCTACTTAGACCTGGTAGACTCGATAGAAAAATTGGTATGTATTCTGCCAACATTTTGGTATACAAAAAAAAACAACATAATCTGTTCAAATAAAAAGCAGTATGAAATTTTCATGAACGCTAAATGTTAGTAAAAAATTTTAAAAGTTAGATGTACTGAAAATTTTCTATTTGTCTTAACCCATTACTTCATATACACGCCTTTTAACGCCTTTTTCACCCCCCCCCCCCTTTTTGTTGTCTCAAATGATGAAAAAATGCCTTATTTAGGCCCCAAACACTTGTTTTTGTTTGAGAAATGTTGTTAAAAAAATTGACCTCTTTTTCGGCGCGGCCCCCCAACCAAAAGATACATCAGGGGGTTGCCAGAAGGGGGATGTGCCCCCTTCTGTTTTGGGGGGTTTGAAGGGGGGCGGAGTCCCCCTCATCGCCAAGAAAATTTTGGACTTGTGAGAGGCTGTAAATGACCCCAGATTGATCATAAGGTAACGTGTAACCAACGCTGAAAAGCATTTGACTCTATCTCAATCCATTGATAAGTTGCAGCACTTTGAAATCAATTTTGATGGAAAAAATCAACGCAAAATAGTGATTTTTGGCAATTTTGAGATGTCCCCTCGTTGCCATGGTAACAGAAAATTTAAGTCTGAGCATGTTGTTGCAAGGACAATGGTCCAGTCAACATTTGTGCCAAGTTTGATTAGTGTTGAAGCAGTTTTTATAGTATTATAGCAATTTGAACTTGTAACGGGTGACTTTTCAATGAAAACAGCCATTTTTCACAAAATGCTCATGAAGCAATGGGTTAATGAAAAAAATAAAAAAATCTACAAAACAACAATTTTTCTTCAAATTTATATGACAGGCCATGTTTAAACATGAAAAAACGCGATTTAGGGTAATTTCAAGTATTTTCATCATTTTCAGTTAACCCATTACTTCATATACACGCCTTTTAACGCCTTTTTCACCCCCCCCCCTTTTTGTTGTCTCAAATGATGAAAAAATGCCTTATTTAGGCCCCAAACACTTGTTTTTGTTTGAGAAATGTTGTTAAAAAAATTGACTTCTTTTTCGGCGCGGCCCCCCAACCAAAAGATACATCAGGGGGTTGCCAGAAGGGGGATGTGCCCCCTTCTGTTTTGGGGGGTTTGAAGGGGGGCGGAGTCCCCCTCATCGCCAAGAAAATTTTGGACTTGTGAGAGGCTGTAAATGACCCCAGATTGATCATAAGGTAACGTGTAACCAACGCTGAAAAGCATTTGACTCTATCTCAATCCATTGATAAGTTGCAGCACTTTGAAATCAATTTTGATGGAAAAAATCAACGCAAAATAGTGATTTTTGGCAATTTTGAGATGTCCCCTCGTTGCCATGGTAACAGAAAATTTAAGTCTGAGCATGTTGTTGCAAGGACAATGGTCCAGTCAACATTTGTGCCAAGTTTGATTAGTGTTGAAGCAGTTTTTATAGTATTATAGCAATTTGAACTTGTAACGGGTGACTTTTCAATGAAAACAGCCATTTTTCACAAAATGCTCATGAAGTAATGGGTTAATGAAAAAAATAAAAAAATCTACAAAACAACAATTTTTCTTCAAATTTATATGACAGGCCATGTTTAAACATGAAAAAACGCGATTTAGGGTAATTTCAAGTATTTTCATCATTTTCAGTTAACCCATTACTTCATATACACGCCTTTTAACGCCTTTTTCACCCCCCCCCCTTTTTGTTGTCTCAAATGATGAAAAAATGCCTTATTTAGGCCCCAAACACTTGTTTTTGTTTGAGAAATGATGTTAAAAAAAGTGACCTCTTTTTCGGCGCGGCCCCCCAACCAAAAGATACATCAGGGGGTTGCCAGAAGGGGGATGTGCCCCCTTCTGTTTGGGGGGGTTTGAAGGGGGGCGGAGTCCCCCTCATCGCCAAGAAAATTTTTGGACTTGTGAGAGGCTGTAAATGACCCCAGATTGATCATAAGGTAACGTGTAACCAACGCTGAAAAGCATTTGACTCTATCTCAATCCATTGAGAAGTTGCAGCACTTTGAAATCAATTTTGATGGAAAAAATCAACGCAAAATAGTGATTTTTGGCAATTTTGAGATGTCCCCTCGTTGCCATGGTAACAGAAAATTTAAGCCTGAGCATGTTGTTGCAAGGACAATGGTCCAGTCAACATTTGTGCCAAGTTTGATTAGTGTTGAAGCAGTTTTTATAGTATTATAGCAATTTGAACTTGTAACGGGAGACTTTTCAATGAAAACAGCCATTTTTCACAAAATGCTCATGAAGCAATGGGTTAATGAAAAAAATAAAAAAATCTACAAAACAACAATTTTTCTTCAAATTTATATGACAGGCCATGTTTAAACATGAAAAAACGCGATTTAGGGTAATTTCAAGTATTTTCATCATTTTCAGTTAACCCATTACTTCATATACACGCCTTTTAACGCCTTTTTCACCCCCCCCCCTTTTTTGTTGTCTCAAATGATGAAAAAATGCCTTATTTAGGCCCCAAACACTTGTTTTTGTTTGAGAAATGTTGTTAAAAAAATTGACCTCTTTTTCGGCGCGGCCCCCCAACCAAAAGATACATCAGGGGGTTGCCAGAAGGGGGATGTGCCCCCTTCTGTTTTGGGGGGTTTGAAGGGGGGCGGAGTCCCCCTCATCGCCAAGAAAATTTTGGACTTGTGAGAGGCTGTAAATGACCCCAGATTGATCATAAGGTAACGTGTAACCAACGCTGAAAAGCATTTGACTCTATCTCAATCCATTGATAAGTTGCAGCACTTTGAAATCAATTTTGATGGAAAAAATCAACGCAAAATAGTGATTTTTGGCAATTTTGAGATGTCCCCTCGTTGCCATGGTAACAGAAAATTTAAGTCTGAGCATGTTGTTGCAAGGACAATGGTCCAGTCAACATTTGTGCCAAGTTTGATTAGTGTTGAAGCAGTTTTTATAGTATTATAGCAATTTGAACTTGTAACGGGTGACTTTTCAATGAAAACAGCCATTTTTCACAAAATGCTCATGAAGCAATGGGTTAATGAAAAAAATAAAAAAATCTACAAAACAACAATTTTTCTTCAAATTTATATGACAGGCCATGTTTAAACATGAAAAAACGCGATTTAGGGTAATTTCAAGTATTTTCATCATTTTCAGTTAACCCATTACTTCATATACACGCCTTTTAACGCCTTTTTCACCCCCCCCCCTTTTTGTTGTCTCAAATGATGAAAAAATGCCTTATTTAGGCCCCAAACACTTGTTTTTGTTTGAGAAATGTTGTTAAAAAAATTGACCTCTTTTTCGGCGCGGCCCCCCAACCAAAAGATACATCAGGGGGTTGCCAGAAGGGGGATGTGCCCCCTTCTGTTTTGGGGGGTTTGAAGGGGGGCGGAGTCCCCCTCATCGCCAAGAAAATTTTGGACTTGTGAGAGGCTGTAAATGACCCCAGATTGATCATAAGGTAACGTGTAACCAACGCTGAAAAGCATTTGACTCTATCTCAATCCATTGATAAGTTGCAGCCTTTGAAATCAATTTTGATGGAAAAAATCAACGCAAAATAGTGATTTTTGGCAATTTTGAGATGTCCCCTCGTTGCCATGGTAACAGAAAATTTAAGTCTGAGCATGTTGTTGCAAGGACAATGGTCCAGTCAACATTTGTGCCAAGTTTGATTAGTGTTGAAGCAGTTTTTATAGTATTATAGCAATTTGAACTTGTAACGGGAGACTTTTCAATGAAAACAGCCATTTTTCACAAAATGCTCATGAAGCAATGGGTTAATGAAAAAAATAAAAAAATCTACAAAACAACAATTTTTCTTCAAATTTATATGACAGGCCATGTTTAAACATGAAAAAACGCGATTTAGGGTAATTTCAAGTATTTTCATCATTTTCAGTTAACCCATTACTTCATATACACGCCTTTTAACGCCTTTTTCCCCCCCCCCCTTTTTGTTGTCTCAAATGATGAAAAAATGCCTTATTTAGGCCCCAAACACTTGTTTTTGTTTGAGAAATGTTGTTAAAAAAATTGACCTCTTTTTCGGCGCGGCCCCCCAACCAAAAGATACATCAGGGGGTTGCCAGAAGGGGGATGTGCCCCCTTCTGTTTTGGGGGGTTTGAAGGGGGGCGGAGTCCCCCTCATCGCCAAGAAAATTTTGGACTTGTGAGAGGCTGTAAATGACCCCAGATTGATCATAAGGTAACGTGTAACCAACGCTGAAAAGCATTTGACTCTATCTCAATCCATTGATAAGTTGCAGCACTTTGAAATCAATTTTGATGGAAAAAATCAACGCAAAATAGTGATTTTTGGCAATTTTGAGATGTCCCCTCGTTGCCATGGTAACAGAAAATTTAAGTCTGAGCATGTTGTTGCAAGGACAATGGTCCAGTCAACATTTGTGCCAAGTTTGATTAGTGTTGAAGCAGTTTTTATAGTATTATAGCAATTTGAACTTGTAACGGGTGACTTTTCAATGAAAACAGCCATTTTTCACAAAATGCTCATGAAGCAATGGGTTAATGAAAAAAATAAAAAAATCTACAAAACAACAATTTTTCTTCAAATTTATATGACAGGCCATGTTTAAACATGAAAAAACGCGATTTAGGGTAATTTCAAGTATTTTCATCATTTTCAGTTAACCCATTACTTCATATACACGCCTTTTAACGCCTTTTTCACCCCCCCCCCCTTTTTGTTGTCTCAAATGATGAAAAAATGCCTTATTTAGGCCCCAAACACTTGTTTTTGTTTGAGAAATGTTGTTAAAAAAATTGACCTCTTTTTCGGCGCGGCCCCCCAACCAAAAGATACATCAGGGGGTTGCCAGAAGGGGGATGTGCCCCCTTCTGTTTTTGGGGGTTTGAAGGGGGGCGGAGTCCCCCTCATCGCCAAGAAAATTTTTGACTTGTGAGAGGCTGTAAATGACCCCAGATTGATCATAAGGTAACGTGTAACCAACGCTGAAAAGCATTTGACTCTATCTCAATCCATTGATAAGTTGCAGCACTTTGAAATCAATTTTGATGGAAAAAATCAACGCATAATAGTGATTTTTGGCAATTTTGAGATGTCCCCTCGTTGCCATGGTAACAGAAAATTTAAGTCTGAGCATGTTGTTGCAAGGACAATGGTCCAGTCAACATTTGTGCCAAGTTTGATTAGTGTTGAAGCAGTTTTTATAGTATTATAGCAATTTGAACTTGTAACGGGTGACTTTTCAATGAAAACAGCCATTTTTCACAAAATGCTCATGAAGCAATGGGTTAATGAAAAAAATAAAAAAATCTACAAAACAACAATTTTTCTTCAAATTTATATGACAGGCCATGTTTAAACATGAAAAAACGCGATTTAGGGTAATTTCAAGTATTTTCATCATTTTCAGTTAACCCATTACTTCATATACACGCCTTTTAACGCCTTTTTCACCCCCCCCTTTTGTTGTCTCAAATGATGAAAAATGCCTTATTTAGGCCCCAAACACTTGTTTTTGTTTGAGAAATGTTGTTAAAAAAATTGACCTCTTTTTCGGCGCGGCCCCCCAACCAAAAGATACATCAGGGGGTTGCCAGAAGGGGGATGTGCCCCCTTCTGTTTTGGGGGGTTTGAAGGGGGGCGGAGTCCCCCTCATCGCCAAGAAAATTTTGGACTTGTGAGAGGCTGTAAATGACCCCAGATTGATCATAAGGTAACGTGTAACCAACGCTGAAAAGCATTTGACTCTATCTCAATCCATTGATAAGTTGCAGCACTTTGAAATCAATTTTGATGGAAAAAATCAACGCAAAATAGTGATTTTTGGCAATTTTGAGATGTCCCCTCGTTGCCATGGTAACAGAAAATTTAAGTCTGAGCATGTTGTTGCAAGGACAATGGTCCAGTCAACATTTGTGCCAAGTTTGATTAGTGTTGAAGCAGTTTTTATGGTATTATAGCAATTTGAACTTGTAACGGGTGACTTTTCAATGAAAACAGCCATTTTTCACAAAATGCTCATGAAGCAATGGGTTAAGCCATGTTTTATAAGTTTGCATTTAAATTAGTTGGAAATTACCAAAATGATGCCAAATTATATAACATGATGAACCTTATTGTTATGCTTTTTATTTGCTTTGCCTTTCAGTATTTTAATAACAAGAACTAAAAGTCTTTATATCATTTAGTTTCAAAAAAAGTGATATAACATATATATCTCACTAGGGTATTAAACAACTGATGTCTCATTGAAATGTAAAAGACAATATTAGACATGGAGAGTGATGATATGATTTGTTTATTTCAGAAATACCTCTACCAAATGAACAATCTCGTGCTGATATTCTCAAGATTCATGCTGCACCAATAGCAAAACATGGAGAAATAGGTAAACTCCAATTATTTTTGTTTTCATGAAATTTTAAGGCAGAAAAAAAGGGAAATGTTCTTGTTGATATGGTAGCTGGCATTTTCACTGTCCTGAATTGTTAAGAAAGTATTTGGATCTAAATTCTATATTCAAATTTCTTCATCATGAAATTTCAAAAAAAAATTGAAATGATTTCACAAGAACACACTGTAGCTAGTTTGTTCTTGGGTGTCTATGGCTGTGTGGTTAAGGTAACTGACTTCTAATAACTTGCCCTTCACTGGTGTTTGTTTGAATCCTTCCATGGACTTAAGAATTTTATATGTAAGGAGGCTATAATAATCCAGCTAGCTTATAGAACATGAACACTTCTATTAGGGGTGCCAGGTACCCCTGAGGTCTTCCTCTACCAGAAAAGCTGGAAAGTCACCATATGACTATAAAAGTGTCTGTCTGACTCTTACTAGGAACTGACTCTTACTCGGAACGAAATGAAAAATAAAAATGATGAAAATATTTGTTCCTCTATCATTCTGCCTTCCATCATATTTACTCACTGTTTCTCATTGTACCTTCTTGTATGGACCACTAAGTTTGATACAAATAAATCTATGTTAAAGAAGTGACATGGAGCATCCATGGATTCTGTCTGCTGCTCATGTTTGAAATATTTATTGAGCCGCGTCATGACAAAACCGCGCAGTCTGATCAGGATCCATGCTATTTGCTTACCAACCCTATTACAAGTAGAGAAACTGATAGCGAACAGCATGGATCCTGATCAGACTGCCTGGATGCGCAGACTGGTCTGGATCCATGCTAGTCGCAAACCCATTATGTTGGTTTTGTCGTGACACGGCTCATATTTGCATTTTGTAAATCAGTTTATTGAAAACTTTATTTTCTCTGATAAAATTTAATAAAACAATTTTTTTGTGTGAATGAAATGTTTCATTGAACAAAGATCAAATATTAAAGTGAATTGGTCTATAATGGAAAGTCTGTAATAAATGAAGAATTTAGATGTATAACACATAATGAAATGTTTTAAAACACAATATTATTATTATTCATATAAAATTTTCATACTTGATGACCTATAACTCATAATATTTTTTTCAATAAATATGTTATGAGAATATTCAAATGATATGTTTCTGTTGTTTTTATCAATATTTGTAATACATGTACTAATGGAACCTGTGCCCATTGTAGACCAATCCACTTTAAGATCAAGAATTTATGAACACATTACATTGTATATGTATTTATAGAAAGTTAAGCAAATTTAATATGTAATAATGTATATAATTGTTACAGATTGGGAAGCTGTTGTGAAATTATCTGATGACTTCAATGGGGCAGATCTGAGGAATGTCTGTACTGAAGCTGGTATGTTTAAGTATTTACAATTTACTCTTGTACTTACAACAAAAAAGTACTCATATACTTGAAACTGTCAAAACATAGGTCAAGAAATATCATGGCTTTTTTCTTATGTAGAAATCCTAATAATGACAGACCATGTTATACAATTTGTTAAATCTATCCAGAGTGAATATTATATTTTGACTGTATCAGTTAATTCATACCATAACGTCCCGGATGACCAGGATTGTCCCGGAAATAAGGTATCTATCCCAAAGGTGTTCCGGAAATGATTCATGGCCTGGTAAAAATTAAAAATAATCTACTTTGTAGCCAGACTTAAATACATTACTATCAGAATCCCTTAAAGTATAAATTTTAGTTTCAAATTCAAAGGAGGACAAGCCCATTTTATGAAAATCAGCCTGGTGAAGATAAATAATTTTTTTTTACAGAGTTACTGTACTTTCCTTACTGTCAAGCACCGACAATAGTCAAACACACCGTATAATTATTATACTAGATATATATATTAAGTATATTATTGTATTGATTTTTTCAGGTATGTTTGCTATTCGTGCCGAGAGAGACTATGTTATAGAAGAAGATTTTATGAAAGCCGTCAGAAAAGTGGCCGATAATAAGAAATTGGAATCAAAACTGGATTATAAGCCAATATAATAATGTACACTCTTAAAGTATGACCAAGATATTTAAAGTGCTGTCATTTATATATTATGTAAAATTCTATTTTCATGGACAGTCATGTGACAAAGTATGACATTGAATAATACTTTACTTCTTGAAGACATATTAGTATGTAAAAATAAAATAATATGAAAGTGAAGCTATGTATGATTTCTTTTTCTGCTTGTTTACAAAAGTTACATTACTTGAAATAAATGCAAATGTGTTTCTCATTGAATAAGAGTTGATTTATTAATCATACCCATTACACATTATATGACTAGTGGAATAATCTTTTAGCTCTACAGAGCACACAATGCTGAAGGTGATCCATTGTGTCTTCCAATGTCTGCCATCCTTCGTCTCCTAGATCACCAGGTCAATAATGACAAAATTATACAGGAAATGATTTTTGAGTTTCAGTCTGTTGAACAAGAAGGCTGGTCTATAAAAAATGGCTACCAGAACTAACAATCGAAACTAGCTTTAAATGACATTTTTACCATATTCATTTGGTCAATAATGATGAACCTATACTGAAATGATCAGTGTTATGTCTTCCATTGCTCTGCTGAACAAAATGGCTGCCAGAAATAGAAACATACAAGCAAGATCTGCTCCTCAATTACTTAGTAGATTTTAATGAACTTTGGAGAAGTCTGTTACAAAAATTGCTGAAATGATTGCAGTCTGATGATTGAACAAGATGGCCACCAGTGCTAAAAGATGAAATAAGCTTTTAATGAAACATTCCAGTCACTTGGCCAATAGAGTTGAAACTATTCAGGAATAATTCTTATGTGGTCATTACCTAAATTGCTGAAACAGATCTTGTTTGCTGAAAAAGCTGCCTGCTAGAACTAAGAATATTATATTTGTGTAGATTCAATACTAAATTTATTGAACTCGAGAGCCAGAGGCTCGCATAATATGATTTTATTCAACTCGTTCAATAAATTTAGTATTAAACTACACTCATTCAATATCCTCTATTTATTAAATAATGAATGAATGGGTTGTCTTCATACTTCAGGACATTACCCTTCTGGACAGTTAAAACACAACTTAACCTCGACTTTATCTTTCAAGGTCAAATTATTGAATTTTTTTAAAATTGGCCAATACTTATTAAATAACTAGACAAAACATTATACTTTTGTGACACATTGACTACTGTTTAAATTACCCAAATAATGTAATTTTTAATGTTAAATGACCTTGACCCAGACAAGTCAAATTTAATGAATCTTGCTCATATTATCTGACATTGATATATTTGATGGATTTGATCAAACCTGGAACAACATGGAATAAAAGTCGAATATGAGCTTGTATGCCAATGTCAAATTCCTGATGTTTTTCTTAAATGTTCAATCTTTTAATTCATTATATAAGATTTTTATGCCCCACAATGTGGGAGCATATAGCATTGCACTTGTCCGTCAGTCCGTCTTCTTGTGAACGCAACTCCTCTTAAACCGGATGGCAGATTTTGTAAAGGAAGGAATTTTCGCTGCAACCAAATTTAACAGAATTATTAGACCCTTTGTTGATTTTTTCACTACATACTATGTAGAAATTTTGTGAACGCAACTCCTCTTAAACCGGATGGCAGATTTTGCTTAAACTTATAGGAATGAACAAACTTAATGTGTAGATGGTAGTAAAGGAAGGAATTTTTGCTGTGACCAAATTTAAGAGAATTATGGCCCTTTGTTGATTTTTTCACTATATACTATGTAGAAATTTTGTGGACGCAACTCCTCTTAAACCGGATGGCAGATTTTGCTTAAACTTATAGGGATGAACAACCTTAATGTGTAGATGGTAGTAAAGGAAGGAATTTTTGCTGTGACCAAATTGTAGAGAATTATGGCCCTTTGTTGATTTTTTCACTATATACTATGTAGAAATATTTTGATGCAACTCCTCTTAAACCGGATGGCAGATTTTGCTTTAACTTACAGAGATGAACAACGTTTAGGTGTAGATGGTAGTAAAGGAAGGAATTTTTGCTGCGACCAAATTTTACAGAATTATGGCCCTTTGTTGATTTTTTCACTATATACTATGTAGAAATTTTGTGAATGCAACTCCTCTTAAACCAGATGGCAGATTTTGCTTAAACTTCCAGGGATGAATAACCTTAATGTTTTGATGGCAGTAAAGGAAGGAATTTTTGCTGCAACCAAATTTAACAGAATTATGGCCCTTTGTTGATTTTTTCATTATATACTATGTAGAAATTTTGTGAACGCAACTCCTCTTAAACCGGATGGCAGATTTTGCTTAAACTTCCAGGGATTAACAACCTTAATGTGTAGATGGTAGTAAAGGAAGGAATTTTTGCTGCGACAAAATTTAACAGAATTATGGCCCTTTGTTGATTTTTAGTTTTCAACTTGTGGCACATGTAGTCCAAAAAATATTTGACCTAGAGTCATGAGATTGACAGAACAGTGGCGTGTGGGGTCATCCGTGTCCTATGGACACATTTCTAGTTAGTGTTCACTCTCAGTATATTTCAGAAATATTGAGAGTTGCTTTTTTCAGATGCTATCATTATGTTATCAAGATTTGATCAGAAATGTGGTCCCTCACAGGGCGCCTCCAAATGTTACAATTTGTCTTTTATTTTTTATGTGAATTGCATAAAAATTAAGATTTTTTTACTAAAGAATACATGTATCAATCAGCTACATTATTGCAAAAATAATCAAAGACAACTCATATAAGTTCCTGACTTAAAATTATTAATTTTACCATTACACTCTAACTATCAAATTAATACAGGGTTTTCATTTTTATCTGAGCCTTAGTACCAGATGTGCCAATGAAAACAACCAATTTGACAAAAGGTCACTGGTGATATTTTAACCTACAGTCTGAAAATACAACCGATTTTAACAGCATTTCAGCTGATGATATGGATCGCCAATCTGCAAATAATGAAAACCCTGATTAAATATAAGTTTCCTGTATCCTGTCAGTTTTATAGTAAAAGTAAAATGTTTAAATGATATCAAATCAACAAAGTTATCACAATTTAAGCTCTATTCAATCACTAAACCCTAACAGTCAAGGTCATATGAAGGTCAAGATCATATATGAAACATTCAACATGTTCAGTTTTCTTGCAAGTGTAAGAGATTGTAAAATTGTTCTATATTATGAACTTTGAAGGGACATGATTCAATGAAACTAATAATGAACTAATGGAGTTACTCCTCTTTGATATATCTTTTAATTCTAAACCAAAAGAGGAAGTAAAAATAAAGGAATTTCAACAAATATTATAAAAAATCAAATATGCTTAAATATTAAACATATTCTATGGTATACACTGGAAAAAAGCAACAACTTAAAGTAAGTATTAACTTACTTTACACCCAATATTTCCAATATATAGTAAAAATAAGAACATTTCAGTTAAAATTTACAGGGTTGGGAATCAATCATAACTGCATAGTTACAACATACAAATTGTAAACACTACAATCTTTTCAATGAATAAGATATAGTTTTATTTTTTACTCTTTGATGGAAATGACTTAAAACCGGATATACATTGTAGGTTCATGTATAAATAACATGCTCAACAATGTCATTTGGTAGATGTTGCTAGGAGAACTTTTTTGTAAAACTGAAATTACAGCGCTCTAACTTGAAGCAGGCCAGAATTTTTATGAAGTTATGTGGATACGTAACACAGTTTATATATTGCTTTAACCATCTAATCAATATTAATACTCATTTCAGAGTTTTAACCATAAACTTCAAAATTCATGAATAAAATATCTTTCATCATTTACTAAAATTTCATTTAAAAGAGATGTTTATTTTTCAAGTAAAATATGATTTGTACGAAATGATATAATTCAGTTGAAATACGATATGATAAAGTTGTAATTTTTGGCAATCTTTACAAAAGGAATTGTTTTATCAACATAAGTCTATTTTACTGAATATATAATCACTTGTGCTTAATTAAACCAGAGTATTCACTGTTTATTACAAAGTACTGTTGCTACACAAGTGTAATAACACTTTTGTTATACATACAAACATTAATATAGCACAAAAGTTTGCTAATGTTTCCAATTAATAGGTGCATCAATGAAAAAAATGACTCTTTTTCAATAGTTTACCATTCTAAAATATTTTAGATAAATAGAATATTATATTTGTGTAGATTCGATCAATACTAAATTTCATGAACTCTAGCTTGAATAAAACTATATTATGCTTGCCAATAGTTTGTATAATATGACTTGATTCAACTTGTTCAATAAATTTAGTATTAAACCTTATAATGTTACACTCATTCAATATCCTCTATATCTTCAGAAATTAGATGTGTTATGATGGAAGGAAAACTTGATCTATGATTCCTGCTTTTTACACTAACGATCAAAAAAGTATACATGTATTTCCTCAAATTCTGATAAATAAAGAATAAAATTTTAACTGTTCTGAATTTTTTTTATTGATGTGGTTTATTAAAAAATATTCATTTACCTATGGTAAGTATTTTGTTTTTTTAATTTCTAGGATAACTTTATACTGTTCTGTATGGTGATATTATAGATAAATGAGTAAAAAATAAGCAGGTTTATAATTATTTAAAAGGCACTTTATGACAAAATTAAACAGTTGCCTTTCAACTTAAATTACAGGATGTTTCAAACACCTGACGACAGAGAAAACCTATCACTGAAGTTATCAGAAGTTCTAGATGATATTGGTATCAATGAACAAATGGTTATGAGAAGAAGAAGAGTGCATATGCTAAAGGAGGCTATTGCAACTATTGCACGTTGGTCAATTGATGAAAATGCAACTGTATATAAACTAGGGAGTCAGAGTGATGGAACAACTACTATAGGACTTCATTCAGACATTGATACACTTTACTGTAAACACGATTATAATATAATACAAGACTGGTCAGAGTGGGAATATGACAAAGATAACTATTTCATGATGCAAGATGAGAACACAACCCCTGGGTATTGTTTCCTACAACTGCTTCGACACGATGAACCTCTTCCTGCCACTGACATTCCTGCCACTGACATTCCTGATAAAGATCATATAACTGACAGAAAAGGAAGAATTTTACTTAAGAACTCAAAAAAAAATGATTTAATGTGTAAAGGTGCTGTACAGCATGGACCTTCGATTGCTAAGCATGGACAGCATTTACTTTATGACAGAGACTTAGTGTTAGCTTTTCCCTGT